GGCATCGGGCATCGAACCCAGGCCTTCCGGTCTGGAGTCCGATGCTCTAATCACTTGGCTACCCACGGCCTTATTGTGTTGGTAACCGAGCATAATACCGACAATATAAAACTATTTTAATAATAGTATATCTTTCAATTTAGAGAAATGTACCACATTTGAATTTAATTCATGAATATTAAATGTAGAGATCTTTCATTACATTATCATATGATATTTTAATCTTATTTTACGGAGAAATTTTATTAATTTTTTAAAAAAAAAGTTTCTAAGGATACTTTTTTTAATAATTGTCTTTTTTGTACCAAACTTTAAATTTAAATCATAATATTTTTCATAGCAAATTGTTTCATAAATATAAGTCGAAATCATATCAATAATACTATAAATATAAGACACATTGTCTAGTTAACTAAATTAAATACAAAGTATATGACAGTAAAGTAATATAAGCAAATAAAATCTATTGATTCAAAATTAGAAAATCGCAATGAAATTTCTTTTGAAAAGGAGAGAGACATCTTTATGATACGTATACGTTACAGACAAAAATATCGAAAATAAATCACACACATATTCGAAACATGTAATCTTTTCTGGAATTGATGCTGCATTTTATTGCTTCAGAAGTATATTTCAATTAAGCAATTGTTCCTCCATGCAAATGTGTAAGAAATATAAATTTTCAAATCTACCATTTCTTCAAAAGACGATATTCAGGAAATGACTTTGTAAAGAAGGACACATTTTACAATCTGTCATAAAAATGGGTCCCCATAGAATTGGGTAGGAATATGCCTTAAGGCTGAATGTAAGGAAAATGGCCATTGAAAAATGCTGCGCTATTTCGAGAAATGGGCTTATAATTTGTCAACGTAATGATCGTTTAGTTCTTGATGAAGTAGCTTCTGAATGTCATATTTCTGTACATGTTTGGATGGTGAAGAAATGATTAAGAATTCATATGTATTCGCAAAAGGGAAGTGGAAATTTTTTTCGGAAATTTTACTGCGTTCTCTTGTTTTTTACTGGGTTTTTAAAAGTTAAAACTTTATATATTCAAAAACCGGCTTAAAACCCAATGGAAATAAAATGGAAATTTACGGTACGCGTTATACGCCGGGTACAAAAAGAATTATAGTTTAAAAAAAACGAGAGATGAGTATAAGAAAATAACACTTCTACATAGAACGGAATACTGTTTGAAAGAAACGACCTACCTATTGAAATTTAAAAAAAAGATTCTGATTCTAAAAGTATGATATTTTTTCAAAATTCAGAGATAATACATCGGATAAATGTTTTAAAAACATACCAGAATTGTACAAGCACTTTTCTGGTTTTTTCGCAAAAATGGGGGTGCTCGTTATATGCCGGATTTTATGGTAAGTTGTGACGGGCTCACGCGTCTTTTCTTTAACATGACCTCGGGGTTTTTGGGGGCCAAAAAGGGCCCCTTTTTCCCAACCCAAAAACCCAAAAGGCGAAATGTGAAAAGAAAAAAAAATAAGATAGCTTTTAAAAACAGAGCAGTAAGTGATAGGCAATTGGGGAATGTTATGTGTGAAAGAGATACAAGCGTGAATTGACAGCCAGTTGTGAAGTTACCTTGAAGAAAAACAATTAGGTCATGGTGCATACCATTGCACGCGCGCCCAGACGCCTCTTCATAAGATTGAATGAAAATTTGGATTTAGATAGGATTGCTTATTTGATATTAGGACTTGTAAAATTATTAGAAGGTAGAGGCGGATTAAATATTTATAGTGGTCTAAGTTGCGAGATTCGGTTTAACTATTACTGTGTGTTTGTTCATTGTAGATTCTTGCCTAAATAATATTATCTAAATTGTTAAACATTTAAGTTTCATTCTTAATAAAGTCATATTAAGAATTAAAAATGTCTATTCCTTTTGCAAACCCTACACATTTAGCTCACGCTGACAATCAAAGAAACGGTCACTTATGGAGGGGCAGTATCACAAAGTAAGCTTTTATTAAGTTGCTTGAGAGATTGCCATGCTTTATAAATGAATTCATAGATAACAAGTAATATGACAAATTCCTACTTAGGTCAACAAAGAAAAATTTTAATTTAAGTTAATCAAATTTAATTAATGAAGGAATATTTGAAAAAATTGTATGAACATTAACTGTCTTCCATCACAAGTTTAAAAAATATATTTGAAGTCAAGAAAAAATGCGTTTGAGAAACTTGTGTTGGCGGCATGTATTAGTGCTAGTCCTAACTTCGTCAGAAATAAAGCAGAATAGTTTTAAAATTAAAAAATAAAATGTGTAATTAATGAATTAATATTTGAAAAAATTGTATTAACATCAAGTGTCATCCACTGAAAGTTTAAAAAAAGTAATCGATTTTCAGTAGATGAATAAAAAGTATTTTATTAAGGATTGAAAATTTAAACAAAATATACAGTGGGCCACAAAAGTGTTTGTACACTTGCAATTTCATATAAAATTTAATGTTTTAGACTAATAAAAATTAATGTATTGTAATTGTAATTTTTTTATGATATCTGCAACGTGTTCTAAATGGAATGACATAATTAATTTTTTAAAAATAGTATAACTATTTTTTTAAAAAATTAATAATCAAAAAGCTATTAAAAAATTACGCCACAAAAGTCTTCGTACACTTAACAAAAATTTCACCTGAGCTTTTAAATATTGTATTTCTTTCTTAATTAATTTTAAAGAAAAATTTTAAATTATCCGTCCGAAATTTGGATATTGGAAACGACTTAATTTTTTAACAGGATAATGACGCCAAGCACACTGCTCTCAATGTACGTCACTGGTGTATCTATAACAGTCCCCAAATTATGAAAACACCTCCTCAATCACTTTATTTAGCCCAGTAGAACATATTTGATGAGATTTTGATGTAAAAAAAAGAAAACATGACAAATAAACACAAAATGTGAAGTAAAAACAATAATCACAGAAGAATGGAGGAAAATCGACGCAGGAATTACAAAAAACTAATTAAATCTATACTAAGATGCTTAAAAGTTGTTGTGGACACTATAAGATATCCTACGAAGTACTAAATTAAGAAAGAAATACAATATTTAAAGCTATGTTGAGATTTTTGTTAAGTGTACGAAGACTTTCATGGCGTAATTTTTCAGTAGCTTTTTGATTATTAATTTTTAAAAAAAATTAATTATGTCATTCCATTATGAATAAGTTGCAGATATCATAAAAAATTTCAATTAAAATATATTAATTTTTAATAGTCGAAAACATTAAATTTTATTAGAAATTGCAAGTGTACGAACACTTTTGTGGCCCACTGTATATATATATATATGTAGAGAGAGAGAGAGACCTAATAGAAATTGAAAAAGGAAAACGTACAATGTTTATAGCATATTTAAACTCTATGTTAGTTTTATTTAAACAGATTTTGTCTTTATCATAAACAAACTGCTATAAATATCTACTAATTATTAGACTTTTAGCTGATTCAAAAAGCTGTATTTATTTTCTTCTTTAAAAGTATTTATAATAGTTAGACATTTAGAAGGAAGTTATTTTTTTAAATTGGGTTATTTTGTGGAAAGCAAAAAAAAAAAAATCGAACCATTGGGAAAAAAATTTTGGGAAAAAAGGGTTTCATGATTAATTAAGACAAGAAAATTGAGAAGATCGTTCTTTATTGAATTATACGACTATTCAGAAAAAAAAAAATTGATTTGTTGTACATTTGTGAAATCAGAAAGATATTAAGGTCAGCATTGATTTATATCGAAGAAAAATACGAGATACATTTCATTTGCTTTCTTTTGTTATGCTAGAACGTTCGATGCATTAACACAAAACAAAATCTCTTAAATGCAGACGATACTGTAACAAACCATCAGAAAGAAAAATAAATAACTGCCAACAAAAGGAATATCAGCTGTTGTCGAAGCAAATCGCATAAATTACTGTTATCTCAGAATCGTCGTTCTATGGAGATGAAAAGTAGCTTTTATATAAATGCAACTGATATTTTTTTGGTCTTTTGTCAATTCTCATTTTCAATTATCTTTTATCAGGCCTTTTTTATTTCATCGGGAACTTCTTTTAAAGAGGAGATTCTGTTTTCATTTCCTTAACTACAATGCATTTTATTATTATTTATTATTATTTGCGTTTTTTTTTAAAATTTAAAAATATGAAATCGAGTTTTGTTACATTTTTTTGAATCTTTGGTATATGTTAGATATTTTTATCAAACTCATCAAAATGTAAGACTTATATTATGAATTTTGATTAACTAGAATGTGTGTGTGTTGGAAGAAAGAAATGGATGTACATGTATAATGGGTGGGGGTTGTCGTGGTTATATGGAGAAAAAAAAATTAAATCTGAACCTACCTATGCGGAAAAGATGTTCTATGGTATGGAAATTAGGAGAAAATTATTAGGAAAAATAATTTTAAAATTTAACATTGTCACAAAGGGGTAGGATTTTTGAAAAAATGGAAAAAGGCTTAATTTTTATTAGATGATTTTAGACTCAAAATGAAATTATTTTTCTATAGTATAAATAATTCAGAACGATGATTATTCATAAATGAGTACTGAGTATATTGTACATTGTACAATTTCATAACTTCATTTCTCTCTCTCCTCACCATCGAATCTCTCTCAATACGGTTCAAGTTTTTTTTCCTTCATCAGTCTTATCGAGCACTCTAATTTCGACAGTAGGTGTTTCTTTTTCAATTCCTACTATTAGTCCATTAGTTCACAACTCTTCCTATATATATATATTATATATATATTGTTCAAATTTTGAATTGTTAATAAAATACTTTTTATTCTTTAACTCAAGTTCAAATACTATTTTTAAACTAGTAGTGGAGGGCACTTGATGTTAATACAGTTTTTTCAAATATTAATTCATTAATTAAATTTAATCAATGAATAAATAGTAACAAACAAAATAATAGTCCAACACCATATATAGAAAGGAAAACCGCTCGTTTTGTCCCTGTAGTGCAAAGGATAGCGCGTTGGACTTTTATTCCAAAATGTGGGTTCAAATCCCACCGGGGTCTAATTTTTGGGAAAAAGATTTCCTTTTTAAATTATATATTTTTTTTTAAAATAATTAAATTTAATTAATGAATAAATAGTAGCAAACAAAAATAGTCCAACACCCTATATAGAAAGGAAAATAGAAAATTGCAAGGAAAATCGCTTTCTATTTTGTCACTAAATAGTATGATTCTGTCATATGTATATACATATTTATATTAATTGTAATTATTTAACAAAATGTAACTAAAATAAAAAATTTTTTTGTAGACCGAAGTAGTAATTGGCTCAATTTTTTTTTTACTTGTTTTGAATCCTCTCATTGCAATAAATGTTAAAAAGTACTAGAAAATACCTGTTTTTCTTCAATAATAGTTACTTTGGCATTTTACCATAAGAAAGCTCAAACATATTCATTCCCCTTGTGGCAGTAATTAATAAGAAAATTCCTTTTTTTTCTTCAACTATATACTTTAGAGCAGTGGTCTCCAAACCCCGGTCCGTGAACCAAATACTGCTGGTCCGCACAATAAACATTAAATTATTTCCATTTTATTTACTGCGGCTTATTTTTCTTGGGTTTGGGGGCTTTTATGAAAAATCACTTTATATTCCTTGTTAAATCACTTTGTACTCATTTTTGGTGTAGTTATAGTTTATTCTGAAGGCACGTTTAAATACAATTAAAACAAAATTATTAAAACAAAACAATCTAAAATATAAACAATCAACATTTTCTCCCTCAGTGGGCCGCAGTAAAATCATCCTGTGTTGACCGGTCCGCAGCGATAAAAATGTTAGGGAACACTGCCTTAGAGCAAGGGTGGGTAGACTTTTCCAGGGTGCAGGCTACTTTTAATTTTTTCAAGGTGTTGTGGTCCATCCTGTATCAATGGAATACACAAAGGGGAGGCTCAACGAGTCCAGACTCTCCTTGAGAACCCAAGATTTTTCCCCGATTGATTATAATCCCATGTATATTGCACGTAAAACTTAATTATATGTTATTAATAATTTTTTTATTTATTAATGCTAATTATATACTTATTCAATAATTTATTTCTTACTGTTCTTTGTTCCTGATAATCTACAAAATGAAAAAAAAAAAAATGTTTGGTTGCGTAATGGGGTAGGAAATGAGAATGGTAGACATTCCACTCTAGACCACCACGATCCCCTTTGAAAAATTCACGAGTGTGCCCACTTCCCAGTATCGTAGGTGTGGTGAGGTAAGGAAAAAAGGTCAACAATATTTATTATAACTTAATAATAAATACGGAATATGTACTTACCCCCTACGTAAATAAAATAAAAAACTCAATTTTTTGAAATCGCGTTTAAAGACAAAAGCAAAATACAAATATAATAATAATAACCATAAATACAATAAGATCTAATGATACATTTATAATTAAGCAATTCAAAATACATTAAAAAAATAAAGCATTTTCTTCTGAAATTAGTTCTCGTAATTATACCTGTAGTCTAGAAGACTTAGTCGGCCAATCTTGAATATTTTTGAATATAATTAACGACTGCTAATCTTCAGATGGTCACCCCAAATTGTCTTGGTGGTCCACTGGTCGATCGCGATCGACGTAATGCCCACCCCGGCCTTAGAGCATCTTCTTATTCTAGAACAAAAATGTTTCGATACGCCCTAATGTATAATCTTGCAATACACTGTTGTTTACTAATATTAGCAACAAATGTCATGTTTCAATGAAGTATACAACTGGGATTTCTGTGAAATATATAATTTGAATTTCTATGAAAAATATGCCGGAATATGCAGATTATTAGCATTTAACAGCAACCTAATAACACATATATACTAATAATGTCATACACAATCTGTATAAAAGGATGGATTGTATAGCGGGTTTCTCAGTCGACTTAATAATTAGTGGGATTATATAATAAATCTGATTGTGTGTGTGTGTGATTTCGGGCTACTAACGCTTAATAGGAATGACATTATTGTCCGCTCCTTGTGGGATCATAATGCCATATGTTGTACTCTAAATCAGGAGCTTGGCTCATGAGCAGGACAAGTGTTCATCAGGACAGAGCGCTTATGTCTGCTATGTTATGATTATTGGGCATTAATTGAAACTATTAGAAGCAGAAGTATTCTTTGCAGCACCTTGAACGACGGGAGTTGAAACTGGAATAGTATTAAGTCATCTTTTTAGAAGAATACCTGTTTTGCTGACAGAAGCACGGTGGACATCCTTGAATAATGGCTGTGAGAAAAAAATGAGCTTGTCCAGTTTGCATTCTTCATCTTCAGGGTATGGGATGCCATTGGAACATACTTATATCCCATCTTGTGTTTTGAGCAGTTTTCCGTTATATTTTCTTGGTGTTAAGGTCTGAGGGGGGAGCTTTAACTTCGAAGTTGTCATGGTGTGAAAGTTTGGAAAATTGGGTGCTGTTTCATGGGCCAACCTCGTCTCTTGGCTGGGGTTCCAAACTATGAGGTCCGTCGACAATAACTTTCAAATAGCTTTGTAGGGTAACATTAATAAACAATCAATGGATACTACTTCGATACTACTTTTCAAGTAGACAATGTATGACTGTATTTACCTAATCTGTCTTTATTTTTCGCGATAAGGAGTGGTGTAACCGACTTTTTAACGAGTAGCATGTTCTTCAGATATGGCATCCACTGAGAACCTTTAGTCATGTATTGCCGGTGCTTGATCCCTCGCCATTAAGATTGATAAACTCTGACACTGCAATGAAACACTGCACTGAACAATGTATTGACATCCAAGCTTAATTCCACTCAATTTACATCTGGATTAGAGCTGTTATTTCTGCCATAAACGATTATTCTGTATATTGAGTACTGTATACACTACGTTGTCTGTCTCAAAGCATATCTAAATTTAATTAAATTGATATGATATTTGACTGCATACGACCAATAAACAAACTTCTTTCGTTTGCCTAAAATTTTAAATGGGTAGTAATGTAATGGTGGAAGTCGTAATAATACCGAAATAGCTTAACCCGGACCACTATCAATAACTAACTCGCCTAAGCTCGAATATTAAATAGTCACTCCTACCTTAATGTCGAATGAAGTAGCGATCAATCTGATCCGAGTTGAAGTTGCGGTTCACTGGAGTGCAATGGTATGCACCTTGACCTAAGGGCTCTCTGTCACGGGTAACTTCTGTTGGCTTTCACTTAACCTTTCAAAAACTCTTCGCACTTGAATCACGGACTATCATAATATTCCCCAAATTGCCACTCCACTAACTCTAACTCTTGATATTTAAAAGCTTCCTAATTTGCATCTTTCATTCATGCTTACTTCTTGGTTTGGTTGGAAAAGAGTTGCCATTAATTCTGGCCCCAAAGAACCCAAAAGACGCGTGAGCCCGTCACACACCTTCCGTAGACATAGCTTAATTTTTTTGCTAATGTAAGTGCTATATAAATCCTGGTAATATATGTGTTAGAGTTAATCCTGAGTAGTTAATCATGAGTATTGAGTTTTCCGACCTTAATCATTCAAGCAAGGACTACCTTCTGGAGAAGTGAAAACAATAGAGAAAAGGACTGTAGCAAACTGTATCCGACAAATGATCTACAATAAGATAAAGAGATAAGTGCCTATTATATAGATAATCTCATATGTTTAGATTAGGAAACTAATTAAAATTGTTCCCACGGTTATTAAACTTGAAGTAATCATAAGTTGATCAGTGAGAAATAAAAAGTAATTAAGGTTATAGCAATGTCTCTTCTTCGATCTCCGGGTGGTGACATGTAGGGCCCCAGCTCAAGTGTAGTTTTTGTCGATTTTCAGTGATTGAAAATCACGAGGTCCAGTTCTTTCATTGTTTTTAAAGTAACTTTAAGGTATCCGACTACGTTCGGAACCGTTATTTTAAAAAAGCATATAAATGGATAATTTTCATGATATTTAGTGTCACTTAGATTAGAATACATGTATAAAATGGTTTTAAGGACATTTTGACAAAAAAAAATTATTTAAATACAATATTTCGGCAAAAAAATAACTTAGAATAACCACTTTTCAAAATGTTCTCCTTTTGTCCAAAATTCTTCTATTAAAGTAATATTTTGCCTGTATATAGCACAGACCTCTGTACAGAGGCTCAACTATGAGTTTTGAAAAATTCACATTATTTTCAGAGTTACAACCCATTAAAATAATTATCGGCTTTTTTTTTTTTTCATAAAATTTCTCCCCTCTGTTGTCGTAAAACTTGGATAAATCCTCTTCTAAGTTATGTATCTCAAAAGTTCTAGTTGAGCCTCTGTACAGAGGTCTGAGCTATATACAGGCAAAATATTATTATAATAGAAGCATTTTTCGCAAAAAGGAGAATATTTTGAAAATGGGTCATTCTATGTTATGTTTTTGTCAAAATATTGTATAATCGTTGAAACTGGGCCAGGCTCATTTGAATGGTGAAAATTGTTAACAAAGTAATTCGTTTTTGCTTAAAAGTTGAACGTCTGATATAAACCAAAACGTGTATCTTTTATTGTAAATTGAGCCTTTTATTTTTTTTATTACCTTGCAGAAAAGAAGTCTGTATCATTAAAGCCATTGCATACATTAAAATCAATTTATCTCAAAATGTAAATTTTGATGTTCGATGTACCTTTTCTGTGAAACTACTGTTCACAGGCATGTAAATCTTTTGTGATATATATATATATAATGATGGCTAATAAACACTGAAATAAGCTTTTTGTAAAAAACTCAAAAATTTAGTTTTTACAAATTTTTTTACATGAAAAATGGGTCAAATTTCACTATGATAAAATATTTCATAAATTATGAAAAAATTCAAAATTAGTTAAAAGCTCATTTCAGTATAATGAGAAAGGTGTACTTTAATTGTATGAAAAATTTTAAACATGTACATATAACAGATTTTGAGAAAAGGTACATCGAAAACAGCCAATTTAACATTGTCGGTATAGAGGTTTCCTACTCCTCTTAAGGTAATACTATAACGATGAGAAA